GTAAGAAATGCATCTAAAGCGGATCAGAACAGCCAAACAGCAAAACCTGTGATCTGATGCCAGCTCTTCCCAGCAACACCAGCATGATCTGAAGCCCTATAGGAGGGCACCAACCATTTGAACTCAAGTGTGGCATAAGAACCACCGAATGCTGTACATCTATAAACCTGTAAAATAAAGAAAAAACACCCCAGCAGTCGGGACCACCTACTGTTTGAGCGGGGAAGCCACACTGCTCTACTGTACCTCAGACACACACACAAGAGCAACACGTGTGATTCATTAGCAGTTTTCAAAGCCTAAAGAACAGGGAGCTATTATGAGTCAGTTCCATTAACCGTGCACTCAGAGATGAAAACCCGTGTTTGGAGTCTCAAACTGTTGCTATACTGTGGCTCAACCCCAGAGAAAACTCTTAAAGAGTTTTCTGATGAACACAAAGACATGCATTAAGAGGTGAATGAGCCGTCGCCGTCAGCTGCGCTCTCTGTGTGGTCTCTTCAGGGACTCTCTGACGCTTTCAGGGTGTCTGTCATAAAGCATCACTGCTGGAATTAAGCTCCTTCAAGGCTTTTGAGTTACTGCCTGCATCTCACTGCTGACTGCCATGAGGCAATGAGTGACGTTAGAATTATTTTTAGTTGGATTTATTTATAATAACATTTTGTTTATGTATCATAAATCTAAATAAATAGCTGTTAGTTCCACCCATAAAGAGTTTTGTTGGGGCTTATGCCCAATTCCTGCAGCCTATGGGCAAAAGGAAGGGGAACGTTCAGAAATGGCCGCCTGTGAACAATTAAGACATGCAAATCAAGCTAACAGTCCTGCTTTTGAACAGTGGGAAGCAAGAGTACCCAGAGAGAACCCACACATTCTTGGGAGACATGTAAACTCCATGCAGAAAGACCCAGGGTGGGGAATTGAACCCAGGACCTTGTAGCTGCAAGGCCACAGTGCTACGAGCTGCACCAGCCCTCGTTGGGCTAAGACAAAAGGATAGGTAGCCTTCTATCCTTAGGTCTTTTTATAGAAACTTTGATCCAATCTGACTGCATAATCTGATTGAATTGTCTCTGCAAAGTGCCTTAAGATGGTGTAAATTCCCTCGATATACCGTATTTT